CACACCTACACCCTCACACCCACACCTACACCCTCACACCCACACCCACACCCACATCCACACCCACACCCACATCCATACCCACACCCTTATCTGATTGATCAACATTGTAAGCTATTTTTCGACACCACTCAACGCTGTTTTTTTAACAAAAAGGTATCTATAACATGCCTACACTCCCTAGATCCCCAGGACCCACTCTATTTATAGAAAGGTACCTGTAATAATCATAGACCCTCCCCCTAGAACTCGACTCTATGGTCTTTTCGAATTTTTTCTGAATTACAAACAAAAAAAAGACTCTAACTATTTCGCGACTGAGTGGGAAGGCAAGGCAAGAAGAAGAGCAAGCAAGCTATTCGCAACACCCATGATTATCAACTCTTTTTATATCAACATCATCAGTTTAATCTTAAGCCCATCTCTCATCAGTATCCATACCTGTTCAATACCACACAATGTTTCAACAGTAAAAAAAAAAATTGAGCATACCATCATTCTCACCCTGATCCTCACTATTACTGTCACTCTTCGGTATACTTTTTTAGAAAGAGCGTGAGGGTTGATGGATCTAGTGAGTCTATAGCTATTTCATATACCTTTATCTGAACCGAGTATGGCGATTCGATGCATTCTATTAATTTCCAGGAAACTCATTTATTTTTCAAAAATATTCCAACAACAGCTGTAATAGTTATAATCAATAAAACTACGCACCTTTTTACCACCCAAATGCTTCTGAAATATGTTCCATGTCCTGTCGCCTCGCTCTCAAGATGATCCGTTGACGCTTTTTCATCCTCATCGTCAGTTAGAGAAGTGCCCTGTAGACCTATTTTCGCCCTCATTCTCAGTGAGTGTGATACCTTGTGTGCATTTATACCTGTATATATTTCTATACGCGGCCTCGTTTATGTGAGTGTCACTCGAAGGAAATGATTATCGTTAAGCTCGCCTAGTTTCCTAGCGGCCTACAGTATTGTTCTGGAATCGATCCATTTTGCCGAAAGTCATTTACTTTCCAGAAGTTCATCTGATTTCCATAATAGCCATACAGGGCATCATATTGGTGAGGTTTGATGGGTGTAGTGGAT